AGTATTTGAAAAGTGAGATTCACTTGAGGACGTTTCTCCAGTTAGTATTTGTTGGTCTCTAATGCTAGCTAGCAACAATCTTAATCATGATCATTACGGTGTACGCATAGTACTCTTTATGAACATTAAAACTGATCATATGGAGAACCTTATCTGCAATTGCTCCCAGTTCTATTACACTACTTTGGTTATCAAGGATAGTATGTAGTACTGCTACTATAGCCCGTGGAGGCTGCTTTGCTCTGCCTGCCAAAGTTACGAGCAAGATCAATAAAGATGGGAATGTTTCGAATACTCGAAAGAAAGGCCACTTGATTTCGGTGATAGTTAATCAATAAGCGGCAGAATCATGAAAGAGAAACGAATTCACAAAAACTAGTATGGTCAGAAAAAGACCTGATTGGGAAAAAGGCAGGACAAAACTCCAATTGTACACCAGTTATCCCTTCCATATTATGATCCCGTCCAGAGATAATACACCCCTTTACTCCATGTCCCTCCAATTAAGGCAATGAATGAAACAAAACATGCTAACTTGAAAGGGTTGATTTAAGTTGAGGATACAGCGCTTATGCGCGTTTCCGAAGGACTCTACGAGCTGCAGTTGGAGCTGCTTCACCACCGGCAGGAGTGGGAGCTCTTTTGCTGGTAGCGGAAGTTGTGTTTCTCTTTGCGGTGGCGGAGGTTGCTTGGCTCCGGGCGACTGTTGTCTTCTTCGTGGTGGCGCTTGAAGTCGATGCCGTCGTTGCCTTCCGGGCACCGGCACCTGTCCTTGTTGGCTTGGCAACGGTTGTTCCGGAGGATGCGGACGATGACACACTGCCTCTGCGTTCGAGCTGGCGAGTTGCTGGCCTTGGCAGTGGTGAGCGCGTAGTTTTGCTAGTAGCCGTGGCGGCTCGGCTGGCGGGTCTCTTGGCCTGTGATGGGGGCCTGTTGTCCTTGATCGAGGTGGATGTATTCTTGACTGGCCGGATGCGAGGGTTGTCTCCCAGTGCGGGAATGCTAGCTGATGTGGATTTGAGTGGGCTGATGGGTTTCAGAGGTGACATGGGTCTGGCAAGGTAGGAAGAGTTCGTGGGCTTCTCGGGTGAGGCGCGTAGCGGCGAGTGTGGATATGTTCTAGAGTTGGACGTCTTGGGAGAGAGAATTCTGTAGTCTGCACCCCTCATCTCCTGGGAAACAACACGCGAAGTACCAGCAGCGGCACCAGGTCCACGTCTCTTGGGGTTCTTGAGGACATCGAGCTGTTCGCCAGCTGCAGGGGCGTTTTCCTTGTCGGAATAGATTTCTCCGTGGCTGGAGGGTCGAGTCAGCTAAGCTCAACAATACACAGTTGTGCATGTTCAGGCCGTACCTTTGCTTCTTGACTCTGCGGGCACTGGGGCTAGCAGCAGAGGCCTTGCGCACATTGGGGCTAACAGAAACGGTTCTAAAACTCCTTGACGCCTTGGCTGGGCTGAGGAGTTTCCGTGGAGAGAGATTCGCTTGTTGGGCCCGGATAGAGGCCATGTGTTTCTCCAGCAGCTCACCCATTGTCGCCTTACGAAGAGCAACGGGAATCCGATTCACGCGTCTTTCAATCCGTGCTCGAAGGTCGTTCGCTTGGAGGGCATACTGTGCGCGAAGTTTGCGGGCGCGCTCGGTGACTGTGGTCATGTTAGTGGGACTGCAAAGTAAGCGAGGTATCGAGAGAGCGCACGTTCGAGCTGCAAGTTGTCAATTAAAGCTTGCTTTTGTCTGCGGGTAATTCGAAGCTTCTTCCGAGGAGGGCTGTTCTCAGGTGTCCTTGCTTCGTCATTGTGGGACGCGTCTTCGGGAGACTTGCGTTTGGAAGAGAGTGAAGTCATTGGGCGCAATCGTGAGTAGTCGAGGTGGGTGGTGAGCAACAGCAATAAAAGGAGTAATAGGTGAGCTGGATTGCGTATAATGTGTTGTGTGGAGGAGTTGGGGCGGAAGGGATGGAAGTCGAGAGACGGAGGGGAGCGCGTTGGAGTGAGTTCTGGAGGAAAGCGGATGGCGGAGAGGATAAACAAGCGCTGACTTAATTCGTGGTTAGCTCCGATCGGGACGGTGTGACATCTGCGTCCTCAGCAGCAGCAGCTCCATCATCATCCCTCCTCCGCCAACCTCCATCATCCACTTACCCCCATCGCTTTCCTTGCTCCCACGCTCCGAACATATACTTCTCAGAAATTCTTGCTTCTTTCCAAATTTGATTGATCATACACATACATTTCTAGCATCGACCCCGCCAGTCTCCTTCCAAGATGTCGCTCGAAGCTACCATGATCATGTCCGTTTAGCCACCTTCATCCAAGCTCTGTGCGCACCTACTAACGCCATCTACAGTGTCGACAATAGCGAAAGCAGCAGAAATGGCGATTATACGTAAGTTGCCTGTTCTGAGCTACTCAGAATCGACCGCCTGGTTCCGTTTCTAACAGCTACCAGCTCGACACGATGGCAAGCTCAGATCGACGCCGTGAGCGTCATTCACACCACTAAGATGCGCGTGCACCCTCAGTCTGCTGTCGGCCTTATGAGCATGGGTGGAAAGGGTCCCGAAGTCCTTTCGACATTTACCACCGACTTTGGTGGTATCTTGGCCGGTCTGCATCGCACGAAGATCCATGGCACTGCCCACCTTAGCTCCAGTATACAAGTGGCCGGTGTATGTTTTCAAACTACTCATCATCTCTCTCTTTAGATACTGTACTATCCGTGAGATTGATTGCTAACCTGGTGATTGGTGCAGCTTGCCCTCAAACACCGCTCCGAGAAGTCCCAGAGACAGCGCATCATCGTGTTCTCCTGCTCTCCCATTGAAGAAGACGAGAAGACATTAGTGAAACTGGCCAAGAAGATGAAGAAGAACAATGTGTCCATCGATGTGATTGCCTTCGGAGATCTGGAGTCCGATCAGACCAAGAAACTGGAGGCATTCGTTGAGAACGTCAAGGGTGGCGACGGCTCTAACCTCGCCATCATTCCCCCGGGCCCCAACTTGCTGAGTGAGGAGCTTCAGGTCACTCCCATCCTCGGTGGGGACAGTTCCGGTGCCGATGGTGCAGGTCCTGAAGGTGGTGATGGTGGCTTTGGATTCGAGGATGCGGCTGAGAACGACCCCGAACTGGCATTCGCCCTCCGTCTATCTCTGGAAGAGGAGAAGAACCGGCAAGAAAAGGAGAAGCGGGACCGGGAGGAGCAAGAGCGCAAGGCCAACTTGGACAACATTCCCGAGGAGGGCTCCAGCGGGAGCAAAGACAAGAAAGAGGATGGTGACAAGATGGACACTGCTTAATGTGGAGACCAGAACAACCTCCTGGATGATTTGATGCATACCCGGCGTTTTTAGTGTACTTTCGTTTTCTTGCTGTAATTGTAGAAAGCGGTTGGTTCTCCGGCAACTCGCTTTTGAAACGGATGCGATCTAATATGCAGATCTATCGCCATCGTAACTTGTTGTTGTTCCATGATACAAACTATGACGCCCAGATATCAAACATGTCCATGCATGCAACCGCAAAACCAAAAGCAAAATTATAGAAACAAAGAAAAGACATCACTCACAACCCCACCACCACCACCACTACATCGCAACCTCAATAATAAAACCCACCCAGCCCATCCCATCCCATCAATCAAGTCCTCCCCCTCAACCAACCCTGCAAATTCCGATCAAACGCCTCACACCTCACGGGCATTTCCAACTGATAGAACGGATTCTTCATAACAAAATCCGCATACAACTCATATATCTTCTTCATAACCACCTCGATATTCGCCATCAGCGGATCCGTAAACAAGAGGAACTTGGTGCCCGTCAACGTCTGGAAACACGTTAATCGGAACTTGTCCGTTTCTAGACACTCGAGACCCGTCGCGGGTACTCCGGGGTTCGGGTACGAGTATGAAGCTGTAGAAGATGTAGGGGTTGATGATGTGGCGGAGGGAGAAACGACATTGTTGGGGGAGGGTGTGGTCGCGGTGGTGGGTGTTGTTGCGAGTGCTGCGGCGGGGGCGAGGGGGAGCTTGGGGGTGATGGAGCGGGTGATGGCGTGGACACTGTATAATCAATGAGAAGAGATGCTTAGTAGGTGACTCTTATGAGAACCTATGTGTAGTAAGGAGGATGTAGCTGTTGGATTGGTTGGTGTGTACGTACCCGTGAAACGTGCCCGCCAGGACGAGGTAGTCGTTTGTCGAGAGCTTGCGCAATCCTGGCTGGAATTCGCGCTGATAGACTAGCCCGCCAGCTTTGTTGATTATTATGAGGGAGAATACAGCCCTATATGGGGATTGTTAGGAGTTGGGTCTTTGCTGGAGTGGGTTTTTGGTTGCGACGTACATTGCGGAGGAGGGGGCTCGTGATGGTGATTATAGGTGTTGGGGTCGGACAAGTGTTGTTGTCCTTTCTGAGCAGGGCGTCAGGATGTTGGCGCATGCAGCATCACTTGGTTTTGAGTGTTGTTGGTAGATATGGTGATGGTAGAGGGGGATTGTTTGTGTGTGTTTGCGCATTCACATCGTAATTGTTGTTGGTGTCATCATAGCATGGGCGTCTTTGCCGGAGACATTGCGGAGTGCGCTCGCTGCTTGCTGGTTGAGTTGTCTATACTGCACCTAGTTGTTCAGGGTGGTTGTGTCTTCACCGCCCTGAGGTAGGGGGTGTCAGCCAATAGTGTGCTTGTGTTCATACATTGCTGTCGAGTTTTAGATGGCGGTATTGTTCTCGCTGCTAAACGAGGGAGAAAGACATTCTGGAGTTACATTTCTTGTGGGCTTGTTTTCTAGCTGTTACGGATATAGTGGTGTACTAGTACATCTACTTCGAAAATCGAGAAAATATGCCAGTAATATCAGTAACTCGAATTTGCAAGATCAACCTGCTATCTTACCGGATGATATCAAGCTTCAAAAACAACGCGGCATACAAAAACTGACATACACGAAACTAAATCTTAACGCTCATTATCATGATTACCAGTATAATATTCCCTCTCAAACCCAGACTTATACCCCTTCAAGGAGCCGCCACAACAGTAGAGACCTCCACCATATTCTGCAGTCCTAATTAGCCAACATCCACAACCCAAGCAGCGCAACAACACAAGAACTGGATCAAACTTACCGGTCTCCTCTCAACAATATGCTCCGACTGCACCGACTTCGTCACATACTTCACGGATCCCTCCCCACCTCGTCCCCCAGCTCTCAAATACTCCAAATAATCCGGCGCTCCCGGAATATCCGTGTTATCAGCAATAACACTCGATCCGACTCTAAAGAGGCCCAAATCCTCACACAGCTTCAAATCACTTAGGTAGAACTTCTCCCAGTGGTCAAAGAAAGCCATATCGACTCCTCCCTTCACAATCTTGCCCTCCTCAACCAGCTTCGCCAATGACTCTGACGCAGGCCCCACCATCACATGCACAATGTCCTCGACGCCTGCCACGCGGATTATGTCCCTCGCTACGCTCGCCACCTCCTCGCTGACCTCGAAGGTGTAGACGTGCAGCCCCTCGGCGAAGGGACCGTGCAGGTCGCGGAGAATGGCAGCCCATGCGACGGCGGAGCACCCGATGTAGGTGCCGAATTCGATGACAACTTTGGGTGGGGTGTCCATGGACATGAGGGCTTCTTTGGCGACGTTGAGCTTGGCTTGTTTGAAGTTCATGAGGCGTGCGGTGCGGCTGAAGAGGTCGAGGGCTTGGTATACGGCCCAGGGGTTGTTGTTTAGGGCATCGCTGGGCTGGGAGAGGATGTAGTCCCGGGCCAATTGGGCGTTGGTTTGGAGGATCTGGTGTAGATACGTATTAGATTGGAGGGGATTGTAGAAGGGTTGAGGCAGGCTTTGCTTGTTTTTGGGGACTTACGGTGTCTTGGGAGGCCATTGTTGTGTTTGAGGAAATAGTAGGTTGTAGTTTGGTTGTTGAAGGTAGGATGTTATAGTAGTAGATGAATGTCAAGTACTGTGAAAGTAACTTCTGGGTCAGGGGATGAGAATAGATGTAACTGTTTGGAGTAGGAGATCTTCAAATGAAACACCTATGTCTGTTGATTTTGAGCATCTCGAGGACCGGTGCTGGCAGTGGGTATTTATACCATAATGCTGCTACGTTCATCGTAGAGAACCACTATTTCCTCAGTAGGAGTGAGTCCACTTTACCATCTCTACACTGCTGCGCCACTACATCTCCGATTTTATCTCCGATTGTATCATCGCCTCGGAGGGGTTCAAGACTTTTGTGGATACCATCGGTCAGTAGATATAGCCATAGGGCTGGCTGGTCGGCTGAACGCCTCAGGCCGAGCATTTGTCGAGCCGAAGCCTAATCTGTACGTGGTATTTAAAGCCGAGCATCCGGTCTCAAACGCCCTTTACGGATCTGAACGCCGAGTGGCTTAAAGCCGAGGTGGGCCATCAGCCCCGCCAGCAGTTGAGGATTCAACCGCATCAAACTTTTGGCTTGACATGAATATGGGTCATTCGCGTGTATGTGCTGTTCGGATGATATCATATATCAGTGCTATTCCCTAATTCATTGTTTTGTAGTATTCGCGCTGAGCTAGGCAAGAGTCCGGGTCATCGATATTCAGAGTGCATGTCCGCGGAGCCAACTTCGGGAAATTCAGCCAGGCAAGTTCCCATTTGATGTAGGTGGTGTCATGATCAAGCAGCTTTGGGAGGGTTTGTGAGACCTTCCTCATCATACTCATATCTTGACTCCAAATCCTATGTGAAAAGATCAGCATACGAGCCCGCAAGCTAGTGATACTAAACTTACCCAATACTTGTTGAACCCAACACCCTCACAGACATCACAGTACCCAAGTATCATAGGTGGAGCCCCAGTCATTAGACTGCGCTTTAGTCCATCCAAAGCCTCCCGAATGCTCTTAAGCCTTGCAGCTACCAGCGTCCAGGGGTATGCGACAGCTGCAAACCCCAACTCTGCTAGCTCCTTAGCAGATAAGTTCTCTGACTTTCCGCCCTCAATTATATTAGCAAGCAAAGGGATATCCAGTTCCTCTGCGCACTTCCTCATAGCTTCTTTGTCAGGTAACGCCTCAACAAAGACGCCATCTGCTCCTAAGCGCTTGAACTCTTTCGCCCGAGTCATCGCTTCGTCCCACCCGTGGATCAATGAATCCGTCCTTGCCAAGATAAAAATATCCCGTCCCTGATTACGTGCATCAACAGCAGCCTGTATCCTCGCGTAGGCTTCGCCTCGAGATACAACCGATTTACCCTTTGTGTGGCCGCATCCTGTACACAGCTTCCGTTAGTCTTGACCCTGTTTATCATGAAGACGCATCTCCAAAGAACCAATGCATACTCTTCGGCCATGTCTGATCCTCAATCATCACGCCCGCTGCACCCGCCGCAGCAAAACACTCCACAGTGCGTCGCACATTCATAGGACTCCCGTACCCGGTGTCTCCATCCACCATAATAGGTATACTCGTCACACGAACTATTTCCTGGATTCGGGCGGACATTTCTCCCATGGCGATGTACCCGGTATCCGGGAGACCATGAGAGGCTGCCACTGCGAATCCGGAAATGAATATCATAGGGAAGCCAGCTTCCTCTATCAGTCGTGCAGAAAGGCCGTCGTAGCCACAGGGATGGGCTATGATTTTGGTAGGATCTTGGTGAGCTTCTAGCCACATTGTACGTAGACTAGAGGTCTGTGCAGATGGGATTTTGCCGCGGACATTCTTGAGTGTCAATGTGGTGGTATTATTGTGTGTTTCAATGTGATCGGAGGGGTCGAATTGGAACGGGTATGGAGTGGGGTTTTGCGAAGCCATATTGGAATAGAGATTGAGTTAGGCTGCTTGAAAGGCCTTTAGGATTGAATGTGTGCTAAGAGGGATAATCTTCACGGATAGTATGATTTGCATTTACTGCAGAATGTTGGTTAAGTGGTGGCCGAGTAGTAATGTGCAAGAGATAGCCGGGAGACTGGAACCCCGCGTTGACATTGAAATCCCCGCACGCGTCATAGCCTGCCCGCCAGAGTATTCGATGGCTGGTTTCTGCCAACAGTCAACACGAGGAATATAGTACCCAGTCCTCACTACATGGATATCAAAGCAGTAACGGCACAGATCTGGACTGCAATTGATAAGATTCCGTGGAAATATTCTTCTGTGTATCACGAATACGCTCTTACAATTTACTAGCGAGACTATTGCCTTAACCCAATGTCCAAAAGCAAGCCAGGGTCTGACCAGCATTGATGGGCTAGCTACATTACCGTTACAATAAAGCTTCCATGACTCCTGGTGTCTAGGCAACAATCCGATCCTGTCTGTTTTCGGTACAACTCTCTGCTGCTCTGGAAGCAAGATGCCTAAGCCCTGTTGGTTCCAACTGCATATTCAATGGCTGTCAGAAATATATTGGCCACCGCTGCGCCCCAGAATAGCAATTGGGAAGATCGGCATTGTTCTCGACACGAGCCTATAAATCTGTGACATCACTATCATCGCGCTGCTCGGTACCGCTTCCAAAGAAGTCCCGGGCGTCTAAACAAGAGCATGGAGTATACACCCAGCGAGGGCCGGAAATAGAAATGAAAAAGTACACAAAGAAAGAAGGGCACTCCTTACAGGAGAAGGATGAAGCGCGCGCGTCAGTCTGGACAACTGTTTACGTACTGCGAGTCAACCCGGATACAATCCGACCACATGGCGCGAGGATTCCAGAACCCTGTTCAGCTGTTATCAAAACAAGAGGGAACGCAAGGAAGCAAACAAATTCCACGAGCGACTCAATATGCATTACGACCTGATTACATACACTAGTCTAACGCTAGAACGGTCCCCGTTTATTCCAATTTACAGATTACAACGGAAAACAGTCAATTGATGCTCCCATCCAGTCCAGATGAAGGTGCATGCAGCTGACCCGCCGATCTGTATGCGAACTAAAATCTCACCCACCAGCCAGTCCCAGCTGAATTCTGATACACTAGTCTAGCTCAGCCGGCCGGCGGATAGGTTCTGGGCGGCCGATACATACTTTTAGACGCACAGAGGGAGGTCCACTCAGATACGTACGTGTTTGTAAGTGGATATTCTGTTTGCCGATCAATCTCGGTGATTTTCAAACTGTGTCCGGAGTACCTCCAGGACTAACGCATTGCATTACACTATCGGGCGCATCTCTAGAACCGGTATACATGCCTACCGAGCATATCAGGAATGCGCCATGGGCCTGCACCATTGACGACCAAAAGCCACGAAGGTGTCAGCATGTATCTAGGACGAACTATCGTTTCAGGTAGTAGGCCCGTGGCATGATCCTGTGTACCCGTCGATCTGGGATTCAAGGAATTGGACTAGACTAGAAGGAAAGAAGGAAGGAAGAGAGAAAGGGGTCAGCTACGTACGTCAGTCAGTTCAGTACTATACTGATCGGATGGGCAACTCTTGTTATGGGGCGCCGGGGGTACCCGTGCCACGTGGAACGTTTCACTCCCTTTCGGGGACCATATTGCTTGTGGATTTGCAGTTATCTGGTATTGGGGGCTATGCTGACATGCACCGGACGATGCTAGTTTAGTGTTTAGGAATGATTGGTGAGGGGGTCTCTGGAGATGTGAGGCGAGCTGAATCGGTTGGCCGATCTAACCGTCGCTGCGGCTGAGGGTAAATTACTCACTTCTGTGTTCGACTGCGGAGTACCTGTCGAGTATTATCTTATGGGAGGAGATTTACTCTCTGGATAATAAGTACCAAATACTAGTATCCTATGCAGTATAGTGGTAGTAATGAATATGTATCATCGCATTCTCTATTCGTCATGAACTCCTCATGCTAGAATAATGCCGAAAACCAAAACCATGTAGCTCAGCAGTCCCTTGCTCCTTTCTCTCGATATGTATGGGGTATTGTGCAAAACCAGGGGAAACCTCAAAAGGGTCCAATAAACATGACATAAACATAGTGAATACAGGATATCAGTCATCAATCATCATCTCAGTCAGTCCGCGCACATTGATGTGCAGAATCCAAAACCCGTCCGAGAGTATTAAAAGGAAGTAGCAGAATAAAACAAAGGAAATAGGAACGAAATAAAGAAGAAGCCCAGAACTAGAAATCAAAAGGCTAGAGAAGAGAAAGAGGAAGGCGGGGAGGGGCAGCAGTTGGATACTTTGGGAGGAAGCAGTAGTAGCCTTCACTTCAACTTCACTTCTCGCAAAGGCCGACCAACTTCCACTGCCCATCCACTTGCCGAATGATGTCTTCTTCAATTGCCCACTGACGCAGGAAAGTATCTTCGGCTTCATATTGCGCGTCACCTTTCTCGTAGTGACGGCCAACATGCTCCATTCGATCATTCCATTCGAGGAAATGCTGTCCACAGAAGCCACAGGCGCTCTGGGTAGGTGGTTTGCGTTGCTCATGCCAGCAGCGAGCCCGAACAGCTTCCAGGGTCAGCTCGAAATCATCGCGTTCTTTCTCAGTTTTAGGCTTTTTGCTGTTGCGCCCGACCCAGGGAGCGTGCATGCGTCGCTGGTGTTGAGTGAAGAGATCCTTTCGGTTGAAGTCGTTAACGAGATGTGTCTCGTTAAAAGAGGCACAACTGTTGTTCGCGTCCTGACCTTTATTCTTGCTGAGGTTGTCCAGACTGCAGCGTCCGACATCACAACGGTAGAATCCAGGTTGGATGTGCTGCGAGGTCACATGGCGCTTCCACTCGTTCTTCGAAACGAAGGTACTCTGGCATCCATAGTGGGAGAAACTGCAGATGAACACCCGGCTGGTCTTTGTACCATCCTTCTTACCGCTGGTCTTGGTAGAGGCCCGAGCTGCGGAGGTAGGTCTTGCTTTGGTGGACGGTTTGCGAGGTCGCTTCTTGCTGATGCGGCCTGTGTTCGTGCTAGATAGCTTCGGCGCCTTGAACTGATTGCCGGAAGAGCTGCAGGCTTCTTGCTGAATCGTGGTCTCTGCGTATTGGCAACTCTTGATGTCACAGGAATTTTCAAATTCATCGTGTTGGGGAGGGCTGTTATAGCAAAAGGTTCCGCCCATAACATGCTCCGAGTCTGTCTCAAGTTTGACGATAGGGTCGGGGTCGGGATATACTTGGGAAGGCGCCACCAGACTGTCAACGTCTGTTAGGGCAGATGGGGAAGAACAAGATCCGAACCCCAGTGGCGGGAGTGCGACTTCATCGCAGGTGTAGGGAGGAGACATATAGCATCCCATGCTGAACCAACTCGAACTTCCGGTGGCGAGACTGTCTTTTGATTCTGGACTAGAGACGAGTTCATTGCTCCAAGGTGAGCCGAAATCAGAAGAAGCAGCAGCAGTCAATGAGTCGGTGTTGTGAGGTAAGACCGGCTCATTTGACCACGACATGGATGGGGCGATGTAAGGGTTCTTCATAGGTAGGTCGACAGGAGAGAGATGGAACTGGAAGCTTGAAGGGCGTTGAATAGTCGTGGGGTCCGAATAAGGCTCGTACTGACAGGGAAACAGTTCATAATCCTGGGCCAGATCGTCCTTGGAGGATGTATGCGGGAGGTCTGAGAAGGGTTGGAAGTGGGCCATTATGTATAAGCTGCGATGTTGTGCTTGCTTTCCAGGGATCCAAAGCTATGCCAGCTGAAAAGTCGCTGCTTTATAGCAACAGAAACCAGAAGCAGTACCTCTTCAGCTGGGGGTGCCATGGTTATGTACTGGCCTACGAGGGCGGTACACGCGATGGGTCACTGCGAACCGAGAGGAGCGTGGAGTCAAGGCCATTGTTGAGCCGCATCGACTGAACAGACTGAGCCATTATTTGTCGAGAGCATCAGGTTGGAGTGCACCTTGGGAAGCCGGAGTAGTGCGCCCCTGCAGCGACGGCCGACAATCTTCTAGGCCGGGGCGTCTGGATGTCAACCTACTCGAATCGGCCAGTCAAAATTCGCGATTTTGGGCGAGGTCCCCCTTTTTCGGTTTTTCCTTTTTTTTTTATTTTTCCAATTTTCTGCATTTTATTTTACGATACTTGATGCAATTTAATTTTCCTTACTTCCAGGTGGGTATTCGATTCCGCCGTGGAAGGTTTGAATGGCATCGTCGTAAGACGGCGCCTCTGGGCTGCAAGGATGGTGGCCCTCGTGTTTGGGGATTGACAGAACGGCGGCATCCACCAGAGGAAATGATCGATCTGGGCCAAAGGTTAGGCCTGTCTCCAGGCCTCTCCGACCGTCCGATCCCCCGAGAGAGCCGCAAAGACGGTGAGTGCGCCAACATTACATGCGCGCTTGAAATTGTCTTTTTGCCAGTCTCTGGCGTCAGACTATTTCCACACCCTCGTGGCTTCCAGCCCAATTTCACGCATCCACATTCCATCGTCTGATTGGCCTTGCTGCCCTCTTGTCTCTTGCCCAACACACCCAGAGAAGGCAGTTCAGCCTCAATGATAGGCAGTGTTGGAGTTAATACTGCATTAGTCGGGCAACGGAGGGAACCACTAACCACCACAGGGTTTAGGGGGCCAAACTAATACGGGGCCGCCGCGGGTCAACTTAGCGAGGCGTTATCATCGAGCTCGTCTGATTGTGAACCAACATTCCGAGTCATTCGCTGCATCGTCATCCTCGCTCTAATTTGGTGTCGTGGTGCAAGGATTCTCAATCAGGTAATGGTCGACGATTAGCGGAATCCTGATCTGTCCATAGTTGGTTGCCTCTTGCCCAGTTGTTGACCTTTTCCAGGGCACGGTTTGGCCCTGTCGCCCATGCCCGCACGGCACTAAGCCCGCGCCACGCTGTTCCCCGACACGCTTCTGGAATGGTGCACCGAGAACTCAGGAAAAATGTCGATGAGTCTTAACTGTTAACTGCTGATCGGGGAAGACACCTGCGGATAGCCCCTGGGGTGCCACCCGCCTAGGATACCCGCTTAGAGTCTGACAGCTCATACCGTTAGTAGTATCTGGTGGTGTCTCTCGTTAGCACCTTGGTCATCCTCCGACCTGGGATTCGTTATCGTCGCTTTGATGGTAACGTATCACTGAAAGAGTGTCGACCCACTTCCTACCACCCCTTTCCTGTCCATTATCTGCTGGACTACGGTCGTTAATGGGGATGTACGGACTACGGAGCAATGTGCATCTTGTGGACGCAGCTGCTTGAGTCCACTTAGTGCCTATTTTTGGGGGCCGGAAAAAATCTACTATGACACCGCTTGATGATCATGGGAGTACTTAATCTCTCATAGGACAGTTCGTTAAGGAAGAAATTAAACATCGACGATTATGGATACACTACTTTGGTACTACGGGGTAGGTTTGATCGAGTCATAGGCCGATCTTGTTATGAGCACCAATTACTGGCCAAGGCACAGTTGACTAAACAAGTTAACAATGCCATGTCGCATCAGACTTGATCCTGGCGATTAGTTCGAAAATCGTTTGCTGTCATCCCCGTCAAAACTCTCAGGCCAGCGTATCGGGCCTGGACAAAGTCGCGCTACACTCTGGCATGCTGGACAACCAACATCGGACACACACACACACACACACACACACACACACACACCAAGCGGGATGGTCGTGTGGCTGAGGCGCGTTGGCTGTGCCTCGAATCTGCCTTACTCTTTCGTGAAATTGATTCGACGTCCACCCATCTGCCATGAAGTCTTGCGAGGCTTCTTTCCATCGAACCCCGGTTTCCGACAGCATTGCCAAGTGGTCAAGACTTCTCTACCTTCCCGCTCATGGGCAGCGACAATGATAACATCGATTCTTTCGATGACTAGTCTACTAATGCGGAAGGGGTAATAAGTGCGAATCCCCGACCATGACTGCAGCTCTCTCGCAGCTAGCAAGCGTGGTCGGAAGCTTCCGGGAAATTAATCCAGAGAGCCACATGATCGCGCGGTTAACTCCAGAAGTCAATGGAGTAGTTACTCTGACTGTAACTCTTACTCAATTGAGCGGACTAAACTAATTAACTAACTAACCACCACAAGTAATCCACTCTGACTCCGACACTGAGTGACACGGATGAACATCCCTGCTCCTGGAAAGCTCAATCAGTAACAATCCCGTAAGGTAATGTATCGCCCGGAATCTTTGCCTGGTGCGACGGTAATGTTATGCATTTCAACCATTCCCCGGGGAGGCGCTTTTTTTTTCTTCCCTCTCTTTCCCAACCGGGAATATCCCTCCATCGATCTATCAGTTATATTCATTCAGCGCGCCCGGGCGAACATCCTTCCCATGATATGTTTTGTTTTGGTCTGGTCTGGCCTGGTCTCGGTCTGCATCTCACTCAACGCCCACACACCCGCCCGGGCTGCGCTCTGCGCTGCAGGCGCGGGCCCTCGGCTCGCCGCATGCGTGTGCACCACAGCCCCAGTGACGCCCTGGTGCCCTCACATGTATCATGCGGGAATATCTATGTACTCTGTGAATGACATCATGGGCATGGCAAAGCCACAATGTAGAGTTTTGTGCGATGGTGCACAATGTGCCTTGTTGGGGTATTGTTGTATTGCTTGCGTCTAGACTCTGGTGGATGTTACCCTGGGAGTTATCTATATGTGTAAGAGTGTGAAAGTATGAGAATATGATAGTGTGGTATTCGTACTACCTCGTAGATAACATATTCTGAAGATTACCGATGACTTTCCGACATTTGAAGGAGCTAAGACTAGTAATCATGCTAGCAAAATACCCCATATCTACTCTACTCCATAGTAAGATGATCTAGCTCTGCCATACTGACCCTGACTTCTTTGTCCCCTGAGATCTTAGATCCTTATTTCCTCTCCCTCCAGCAGCCTACTCGTCCTTCTCCTTAACAGACTTCTTCTTCGGCACGCGCACCAGCCAGTACAAGAAAACTGCTGCGATGGCGTTAAACACAATGAACGCGAAGAGAATACCCACATTACGCCACCGGTCCGAGTAGCTCATGCTCAGCGCGCTTAGATACTGGTCGGTCTTCGAGATCGAACACACGAGGCATTCGGTGTTGTCTTCGGGATTGAGGAGCGTTGCTTGGTAATTGCGAACGTATGTGTCTAGATAACTGGAGCAATTTTGTCCCGTTGGAGGTGGGATATGCAGCAGCTCTATATCGGAGCATTCGACGTCGTTTCCTGCGATGCCTACACTCAAGACAGAGGATACCAGGTAGGTGAAGGGTGAGACCCGGTACATGAAGATCCAGAAGCGAGGAAGGGCAGATGGGGTGGCCAGGACGCTAGATTCACAATGGTCAGTCTTCCTCACAGACAAACGATGCAGTATGACTTACCCGTTAAAGATCAGGCAGAACGAGAACAGAAGTTGGGCGACGTTGCTACCTGTATCCGGTTGCTCGATGCCGGCGATGACCATGGAACTAAATGTTGAGGTGAACACCATGAAGATCAGGACGAGAAGAAACATGGTTCCACCTCTTTCGGTGACCGAGTCCGTTGGAATGGCGTTGCGGTATAGGCCAATTGGATAGTACCAGCAGAAGTACGCCGGAACTGCCATCAGTATGTTCCAGGGCAACTCAACCAGAATACTGGCTAGCATGAACGCTACCCAAGAATATGTTTTGGAAGGTCTTTCGCGAACTTCATACAAAGCTCGCTGCCTTGCGAAATATGGCATCATCTGTTGCACCAAGTTGGGAAAGATGACCAATAGCATGAAAATAGCGAACATCTCGTTCTGCAATCCTTGAAGACTGTTCGGCTCTCGCCAAAACGTAAAGCCAATAAAGATCGGCTATGGTGACCTGTTAGCTCCGCATACCGTGAGGACACGAGATACTTACTGGGATAACGCACATGGCAGCCTTGGAGTAGATGTATGAAGGACTACGCCAATATTGTTGGAACATCCGCTGCAGGCAAAGGACAAACTGCGCCCAAAGAGGCATGGCAAACGCTCCATATCCCACCATTCGAGGAGGGGGTGGCCGTTGCAGTAGTTCCTGCTTCATCTCAGCAAGGTCTAGGCGTACCTGAGCGCGCTCAGGACTTTGATTCCACACCTCCGTCCAATCGCGGTCAGCATGGGATCCTGGGGCAGCTCCGATTACTTCCAACATCCACTCGGCAGGGTTAGCGTTGGGCGGACATTTCACAGAGCCCTTCGCCTCGAAGTACCTTATCAAGGTCTCCATATTCTGGCCAAGCTCTCCAAAGTACACCGTCTTACCACCTTTTGCTAGAAACAACAGCCGATCAAACTGCTGCATGAGGATCGCTGATGGTTGATGAATGGTACATAAAATCGCTTGCCCGTGATCTGCTAGCTTTCGCATGAGGGAGCAGATAGACCATGCAGTTTGACTGTCAAGTCCCGAGGTGGGCTCATCAAAGAACAGAAGAAGGTCAGGCTTGGCCGCGATCTCTACTCCGATCGTCAACCTTTTCCTCTGTTCAACGTTCAACCCCTCACCCAAAACCCCGACAATGGCTTCTGCGTAAGCTTCCATGTTGAGCATTTTGATTACCTCCTCCACGTACGCAAGCTTTTCTTTTCGCGGTGTCGTAGCTGGCTGACGAAGCAGTGCGCTGAAAACAAGGGCTTCCCGCACCGTGGTTGTTTCCAAGTGCAAATCCTGCTGTTGGACGTAACCAGTCTTTCTCTGGAAAGAATCATCCCGCATCCTTCCATCAATTAGCATATCCC